ACTTTAAACTAGCTTAAGTGATCCCTAGTTAGCTCTTGACATGGCTTGCATGCTGCCTCAAAAGTCGCAGTTTATACTGGGAAAGAAATCTCTAAACTAATTTCAACAAGTTCCCCAAGAAGATTACATTGAGAAGGAAACTTTGTGTGGATTATCTGTGCTGGGCTTTGCTTGTACACCCCTTACTGGTAAGGAAGGGGAAATTAAACTAGCTTAAGTGATCCCTAGTTAGCTCTTGACATGGCTTGCATGCTGCCTCAAAAGTCGCAGTTTATACTGGGAAAGAAATCTCTAAACTAATTTCAACAAGTTCCCCAAGAAGATTACATTGAGAAGGAAACTTTGTGTGGATTATCTGTGCTGGGCTTTGCTTGTACACCCCTTACTGGTAAGGAAGGGGAAAAGGCATACTACAGACCAAAGTATGATGCGTACCAGGAAATCTAGAGTGTGGACCTAGCCATAAGTAGGCGAAATTGAGGAGTGATTCTGGATTTGTGCACTGATTAAGCCTATTTATTGCTGATTTCAAGATTGTGTTTTTAAAGTACATTTTTTAGAAAAATAAAGCCACAAGAGATTAGACTTGTCCCCTGACCTGAGGAGGAAAGTATGTAGTGTGTAGATACATTTTATTTAATAAAATTATCTGTTTTCAACAGTTTGGTTTTTTTTAAGAACATTTAAATGTGAACAAGGTCTGACTTTATTGCGTTTATGACTACTTGAGTGGGGCTTTTCTCCCTGGGGGCTGCTGCGTACACTGAATTGCTATTACCCTTTGGTTTTCAGCTTTAGTTTAGTTCACAGTGTAGCTCAGCAGAGGTCTTCTGCCATGATGAATCCTCTTTTTTTCTGCCTTGGACCAATATTAAGTAATGATATTTGCAGATAACACTGTTTATCTGCTTCATTAGCTGAATTGGGCTTTCTGAACAAATATACATACTTTATCACTTAGCTGGCTTTTGCCAATAGTTTAAGAGTAATCTATCTCTTTTGCCAAGTAACACTTTTTCAAAGTGTTAGTTTAAGAGTAATCTATCTGCATACATCTTTTCTGAGGCCTTAGAAGTGAAAACATACAGTTGCAAAATATATCCTTGAGACAAGTAGTTGTGTATGACAGCAGTGAGACTGTTTTGTGTCATTAGGAATGTTAGCACTAGGGAAGTGCAGGTTGAAACTGAACTGCTTGCTTCTGCAATAATACATGATGAATAGTGGACTCCTTAAGTATCAATATTGTCTTAAAAGTTATTTACTGTCGTAACTTTCATGCTAATTTCAAATCCAATGGATTTTCCTGCACAGATGAAAATTGTAAAAAGAAGCTGAAAGATAAAAGTAAGGTTTCTGGTGTCTTTCCACAAGCATTTGCATTTCAGAAGTGCTTTCCAGAATAGCTTTCTGCATGTGTTTGCAAAACTGCTTTAACAAACATTGTTAGGTTGAATCATCTATAACCCTTAGTTACACTTCCAGTAAAAATTCAGAATAAGGATGGATATAGCAGACTTGAAATACAAAGTTTTCTGAAGCAAAGCTGATAAAGATTTGGTCTCATGGAGACTCACAAAACGGTTGCCTCTTGACGAAATGCAGTCACTATCCAATATAACCAGATTTTCACTTAGCATAACTGAGTGAAAATCATTGGAACTGGATCAGTTGCTGGTTTAGCCCAATATGTCTAAATGCCTTTCATCTAGAAAGCCAGCCAGGCAGCTCATTTTCTTCGTGCATTTCATTAAAGAGGAAAACGTTCTTCCCCCTCTGTTTGTTTTCCAGGAAATTTTAGGAAGTTAAAACAAGGTAAAATGCTTTCTTGCCTGTGGATTTGGCCACCTGCCTATGCTTGTAACAAAACTTAAATTTTACTTCATTCATGCAAGTTAGATTTTTAGCAAAAATGGAGATTCTTTCC